CAGCACTAATCTCAAGTCATTTTACTTGTTAAGTAAATGCATCTTGATTCAAGAATGTTTAGATATTTATACTAGAAAACAAGACAGAAATACTAAGTAAGAAAAGCACTTTTTGCAGTGAGGAAGACATTTATTTTTTGCAGTGCATGAAACATTTAATGGCATGACTTTGTGAATGAAGCTGTTTGTAAGACGCTGAAGAGCTGCAGAAGCACTGTGAATGGGCTGATGCTCTCAGGTAGAGGTCAGACGCACCTGGCGGCTGCTGTGGCCACGAGCACTGCTGACCGTCCTGCAGGACGAAGGTGAAGCGGATGGAGATGCTGATGGGCGGCAGCGGTGTCAGCGGGCAGCCCTGTCAACACAACATGACACACACATTATGCACTTATTATCACTTATTATTATACATTTCACCAGAAAAAAAAAACGAACAACTACTTCCCAAATGCAGCTTTCTCTGATAAATTATTGCAGTTAATCAATATCAAATAAAGCTGTAAATGCTTTTGAGTTTTAATTAGTAAAGCAATCGGTTTATACAGTCAAACCAAAATTTATTCAGACACCTTCAACATTTCTCACATTATATCACAGTTTATTCGCTGTAGTTTAGAAAACGGTAATAAAATATGAGAAGAACTCATAAGAAATTAATCTTGATAATGTCAGATAACTCTGATAGAAAGGTATGTAATGTATTCGGTTGAATAGCTGTCAGCTGTTACATTTAAGAACACAATTAGATAAAACCAATTTAGCTCAACTAATTACCAAGCACTGCTTCATTTAGTTCAGTCTGTGGTGTAAAAAGATCACATTAGCAATTAAAGAAAAACACTTCAGCAAAACATGCTCAGCTCAAAGTGTCTGAATCATTTATGATCCGGTAGTCCACTGTATGAAGAGTTTATGGGTATAATTTGTCACAGTTTACTTTATTTTGCTCTCCTCACTTACATAAAGAAACTATAGTGTCCTGCACACACTAGTAACAAAATATCAAAAATTATATCTGAATTATATATTATATTTATATATAAATTATATTATAAGGAAACGTCCATAAATCACATACGACCAGTGTTGGGCTAGTTACTCAAAAAATTTAATATATTACTCATTACTAGTTACACCTTTCAAAAGTAATATTATTACTTTACTTATTACTTTCTGGCAACAGTAATTAGTTACACTACTACTTTTCTTTCACACCCCACAATTGCATATCTTCCCCATAAAATTCTTCTAAAATATTACTAACAATATATTTCTGCCTCATCATTTGACCAAAATCCACACTGGATCACAGTCAGAAGTGATTACAAACACTCAGTGGTGATTAATAGTGACGTTTAAGTAAAAGTGTTGTATTAATCTCATTAACTGTCATGTGTAGCTTGAAGCTAATTGCAGCAATAATTTCTCTGTTTTACCCATATACGATTCTATTCCATGATGCATTTTATCAAAAGAAATCATCTAAGTTCATAAGAAAATGTTTCATTCTCTAAAAAGATTTTATAAATGTTTATTAGGATCAGAGGGATGAGGGCAAGCCGTGTAACGCCAGAGTAAAGTAATGCCACGACTTACACATCAGTGTTCAGATCTTTTCTCCTGACTAAATCAATGTAATGGCAATATTTCCATCCGCTGAATGTAAGCTTTTTATATTCCAAGCTCGCCTGCTGCTCTGCTGACTTCATGTGTTCATGAGTTGTGAAAATTATGAATATAAATCTAGGAATTATTGTATTGTTGGACTTTAAATCAGGGGTTGAGGCATCGAAAGTAATTAAGTAACGAGCTGTTTTATGGATAGTAACTGTAATATTACTGCAACGAGTTCCTGCCCAACACTGCACACGAGCCGCATGTTCTCTTTGAGACGGACAGCGAGCAGCGACTCACGATCTTGTTCTTGAAGATGTCCAGCAGGCCCGACAGGTGTGTGTACTGACCAGGAGCTTTACGCAGGTGCACCATCTCAAAGTCTGAGCGGACCCCGGGCCCCTGACACTCCCCCGCATACACCTTCCTCCACTTCTGCTGGATCTGCACCAGCAGCGGCACCTGACTGAACACACAGAGCAGAGAGATTCAACACACACACACAAAGAGAAATACACACACACACACACACAGAGAAATACACACACACACAGAGCAGAGAGATTCAACACACACACACACACACACACACTCACACTCACACACACACTCACACACACACTCTCACACACACACACTCACACGCACTCACACACACGCACACACACACACGCACTCACACACACACACACTCACACACACTCACACACACACA